TGGCCCCTCAATTCAAGTCTTTTGGGTAAATATCCAGAAATGGGATCACTTGATCACATGGTTATTCTATTTTTAGTTTCTCAAGAAGTGTCCACATTGTTTTTTCCATCAAGACTGTACAAATTTATATTCCCATAATCAGTGATTTTCAACAAATGATGTTGGGACAACTGGTATCCACAAAGGAATATGTTTACCTCATGCAGAATACAAAAAACAAAACAGATCAAAGTCCTACCTACAAATAAGAGTTAAAAGTATAAACTCTAGAAGAAAACAAAGGTATAAATCTTTGTGACCTCTGATTAATCTTTATATATGACAGCAAAAATATAAATGACAAAATTGAACTTTGTCAAAATTGACCACTTTTGGGCTGGGGGATTTAGCTCAGTGGTTCTGCCACCTGCCTTGCAAGCACAAGGTCCTGAGTTTGATCCCCAGTACCAAATAAATAAATAAATAATCTTAGGATACCATCAAGAAAGTGAAAGGACAACTTCAAAATAAGATCAAATATTTGCAAAGCATGTACCTGATAAGAGTATTTGCATCCAGAATACATAAGGAATTCTTACAATTAAAAAAGAAAATAAAAAGTCCAATTTTACAAATAGGTAATGACCTGAATAATATTTCTTTAAAGATATACAAATGGTCAACAAATACATGAATACATGCTTAATATCATTAGTCTTTTTGAAAACCAAGTCAACATCACAGTGAGATTCTATTCCACACCCACTGGAATGTGAAGACAATGTGTTGAGGATGTGGAGAAACTGGAACCTTCATACACTGATTAATTGTAGAAATGTAGTTTTGTTTTTTGGTTTGTTTATTTATTTTTTGGTACCAGGGATCAAATGTGGGCCCTTTCGTTTGTGAGGCAGGGAGCGGAACCACTGAAACAAATCCCCATCCCAATTGTAGAAATGTAAAATGGGGGAGCTGCTTTAGAAAACAGGCAGATCTGTCATGGAAAGGTACAAGATCCCAATGATGAATGTAACTGCACTGTATACTTAAAAAGTACCAATAAACTCAATGAAAAAAAGAAACCCACAAAGAAAGTAGTCTGGCAGTACCTGAAGTGGTTGAACACAGAATAACTGTACTGGACTAGCCACCTCCACTCCCAACTATTTAATAAGAATTGAAAATATATGGCTACACTGCAAAATTATTCATAACTTCTCCAAACAGAAGCAATCCAAATGTCTATCAATCAAATGGATAAAATGTAATACTATGTATACAACATATCACACAGTGATAGAACAGTGAAGTATTGGTACATGTATAGTAGAACTGAACCTTGAAAATGTTATGCTATATAAGAGCTAGACAACGGGGCCGGGGATTTAGCTCAGCGGTTCGGTGGCCTGCCTTGGAAGCGCAAGGACCCGAGTTCAAGCCCAGGTACCAAAAAAAAAAAAAAAAAGCTAGACAGAAGAACCATATGTATGGCTGGGCGTGGTGACACATGGCTGTAATCACAGCAGTCAGGAGGACTGCTGCAAGTTTGAGGTCAGCCTATCTACAGCATGAGTTCAAGCCAGCCTAAACTACATAGCAAGCAAGACCCTGTCTCAAAACAAACAAAAAAAACCCAACCATATGTATGATTCTACATACATGAAATATTCAAAGTAGACAAATTCAGAAAGAATGGAAGTAGATTATAGGTTGTTAAGTGTCAGGAACCAGGAGCCATGCTATATAATTTTTGGGAAAAAACATTTCACAAATTATGATTAGGGCTGTCTGAGGCCTCCATGGTCCCATGATGCTGTGATGTTCAAGGGCAAAATTACATCAGCTGAAGACATCCTAGTTCTTTAGGAACCTAGTAGTAGATAAACCAACAACGAATATTATATTAAATGGAAAAAAACGGAAAGCTTTCACTCTAACAGGAACAAGACAAGGATGTACACTGTCACCACTTTTTTTTTCCCCCCAGGACCAGGGATTGAATTTAGGACCTTGTGCCTACAAGGCAGGCATGTCGCCATGGAGCTAAATCCCTGGCCCCCAGTCACTACTCTTGTTCAATACAGTTCTAGAAACACTAGCCAGAGCTATCAGACAAGACAAAGAAATAAAAGGAATAAGGATAGGAAAGAAAAAGGACAAATTATCATTATTTGCAGATGGCATGATACTTTATATAGAAGACCCCAAAAACTTCACCAAAAGATTCTTAGATCTGATAACCAAATTCAGTGGCACAGCTGGATACAGTGGACACTCAAAAATCAACAGCCTTTCTTGTACACAAATAAAAGATTCAGGGAGAGAGAAATTAGAGAAACAATCCCTTTCAGAGTAACATCCAAAAAAGGAAATACCTAGGAATCAATCTAATGAAGGAAGTAAAAGTCCTCTACATTGAAAACTACAGCACTCTGAGGGCCAGGGATTCAGAAGTGCTGCCATTTGCCTTGCAAGTTCAATGACCCTGAGTTTGATCCCTGGTACCAAACAAAACAAAACAAACAAAAAACTACAGCACTCTGAAAAGGCAAATTGAAGAGGATATCAGAAAATGGAAAGATATCCTTTGTTTTTGGGTAGGAACAATCAATATTCTGAAAATGGCCATACTTCCAAAATTGTTACACAGATTCAATGCAATCCCAATCATAAGTCCAACAGCATACCTCACAGAATAAGAAAAAACAATCCTAAAATTCATCTAGAACCAGAAAAGACCTAGAATAGCAAAGGCAATTCTGGGCAACAAAGGCAAAACAGCAAGTACCACAATCCCTGATTTTATATTACAAAGATATGGTGATAAAAACACACTACTGGCAAAAGAACAGACCCCGAGGATCAATGGAACAGACTGGAAGATGAAGAAATAACTCCAGACACACTCAACCACCTTATCTTTGACAAAAGAGTTAAACACCTTCAATGGAGACTTTCCACATGCTGAAGATTGAAACTAGACCCATATACTTTTTTAATGTACAAAAGCAATTTATTCCATTATAAGCACATAGTTAATCATGAAGAGTAACAGGCCTGCTGGTCAAACAGGTCATCTAAAATGGAGATGGTACCAAACTAGTTTAGACCCATATCTTTCACCATGCACTAAGCTAAAATCAAAATGGATCTAAGATCTAAATATTAAAAAAGAAACATGAAATCTGCTGGAAAGAGAACACTTGAAGACATAGGAGTAGGCAAAGACTTCATGAACAAAACCCAGGCCATATAGGAAATATTACAAAGAACTGCACAGCATGAGAAACTACCAACAGAGTAGAGACAACCCACAGTGTGAGAAAAAATTTTCACCAGTTACTCGGATAAAGGATTATTGGGGCTGGGGATTTAGCTCAGTGGTTCCTCCGCCGGCCTCGCAAGCCCAGGGACCCGAGCTCTATCCCCAGTACCAAAACAACAACAACAACAACAACAAAAACAGATAAAGGATTATTTAGAACATATAAAGAACTAAAAAAAAAAAAAAAAAATCAGATCTCCCAACAAATTTATACACTCAGTGCAAAACTTGGCATCTGAAATGAACAGATACTTCTCAGATGAAGACTAGAAACAGCAAATAAACCTATAAAAAAAAGCTCAACATCACTGGTCATTCAAAAAGTGCAAAATAAAACATCAATGAGATTCCATCTCACTCCAGACTGTCTGTTATCAAGAAATCAACCAATAACAAATGCTGCAGGGACTGTAGGGAAAAAGAAACCCTTTTCCACTGTCCACTGTAGGTGGGAGTGCAGACTGGTGCAACCACTGTGGAAGTCAGCGTGGAGTTTTCTTAAAAATACTAAAACTAGAAGTTCCATTTGACCCAGCTGTACCTCTTCTTGCTATCTTCCTGAATTAAAAGCATCACACCACAGTGATATATACTCACCCATGTTTGTAGCAGCAGTTTGTAATAGCTAAATCTTGGAAACAGCCCAAATGCCTATCAACTGACAAGTAGATAAAGATGTGGTTTTTTAATATACAATGGAGTATTACTCTGCCAAAAAGAAGGATGAGCTTCAGATATTTATAGCTAAATGGATGAACCTTGAGACCATACCCTTAAGTGAAATAAACTCCACACACGTTTACATACCACATTGTTTCGGTGTGAGAAACTAAAGTGGAAATAAGGACTGAAATGTATAACGGCTGTTAGGAAATGGAGAAAGTGTTCAAATGGGAAGGGGAACAAGGGAGGAGGGAGGGAGAAAGGAAGGCACAAGAAAAAAAGCGAAAATAGAAGGGAAAAATGGAAACAAAGTTTTTGTACAATAGGGAGGGGAGGGGGCTTGAGGATGGGAATGGGATAAAAAAAGAACCAAGCAGTAATACAAAGGAAGGTTTCACCTGGGAAGGGAGAAATTCCTTCTCGGCCTAACACATCCCGCCCATTGTTGTACGGATATTCTGCTCATGTCTCCATCCCAGTCAGCATAAACTCCTCAGCAACCTAAGATCCTCCTCCTCATGATTATTGCTGCCCTCAGAATATAAGAGCCTCCTGAATTTAGGGTTATCACTGCTCTGAGTCACTTTATATTCCCTATGAACCCAATAAATAGTGGCGAGGTCAGAGTCTTCGTCAGCTTTAAGGCACTGACCTCCCACCCCCCATATACTTTGAAATTACATAAGTCTCTATTGTCTTTTTTTCCTTAGCCCTCACTGTCCCCTTTTCTTGGCAGTGGAATGATTGATCAAACTCCAACAGTTAAAGAGAAGGAAAGAATGTGGAATGACTGCTATAGGTGTGGGCCTGTTTTCTGGTGTTTTCTGGGAAATATTCCTGCATTAGAGAAAATGGCTGCAGAACTCCATGAATATACCAAAATCCACTGAACTGAACACATGAAAAAGATAAATTATATGGTAAACAAATTTTATCTCAATAAAGTCGTTCCTTTAATTACAAGGGGTCATCTTTTACATCAGGATATTAATATTAGGTATATGAGGTTCCATATTCTTTTCAGTCAACTTACCCTGAATCGTGTAAATAAAACCACCTGCAACACCCTCCACACCTTCCACATACTCATGAGGCAGCGCACTCTCCCCAGCCTGAAAGCAACAAAAACGTAAGTGCTCAATGTTTCATTACTAAAAGTAAACCCATATTCCTGTACCCAATTTGACAAAAGTTCTAGTATGATTCCACCACAGAAGATAAATCCATCTAAGATGCTGGTGCAGTACAGATTTAAAATGATATAGATTATGTACCGTATTGTTCTATTTTTGCTACCTAGTTACAATCTTAAGAGATCAGCAGTTCATAGACGCTCAGAATTCCAACTTATGTACAATCATACCTTCTTGCACTTGCTACCACAATAGTACAAAAACTAATTTATTTTTTTTCTCATTGAGTTCATTGGTACAATTTAGGTATACAGTACAGTTACATTCATTATTGGGATCCTGCACCTTTACATCACAGGTCTTGGTTCTCATTTTTTCCCCATACCCCTGCCCTCCCTTTACCCCTGCCCTCCCTTTACCCCCTCCCTCCTCCCTCCTCCCTTCCCTATTTACAGATACTTTATTTCAATTTTTTCATTTTCTCATGTTTTTTTCTTTCCCTCATTACCTTTCCCATACCCTTCCCATTTCCCCTACACCTTAAGCTCTTTTCTTCCTATTTCACATTGTCAATTATCTCATTAGGATCTTATGTACCATATACCCCTTAGTGAAATAATAAGTCACACACGTATAAATACCAAATAGTTTCTCTGGTGTGAAAAACTATAATAAAAAAATAATTTATTTTACATCAGGACCTAATCAAATAAAAAATTATTAAAATTAAAAATATCATTACACTTTTGAATTTCTGGAAAATGAAAATTCTTACAACTTCAAACAGATCTTAGTGTATCTTAAAATTAAGTGACCATGCAGAGAAAAGTTCCTCTAAATCAACAGTCTATCTCAAACACTTCAGATGAAACCATATTGATTACTGATGGGGTTTAAAATGCCTAGAGCCAACCATGCCAACATCCAACATCCTTTTTGCCTCTTAGGAGCAGAGGACTTTTTATTTTTAGTGTCACCTCTCTTCACCTCACAAGTTAGCCAATACCCTTACTCAAACAGATCTCTTTGCTACCGTTGTGGGTCGGATTAGACTTTTATAGGTACAGTTCAGCAAGTATGATACCAGAAGTGATACTGCTTGGCCATTCTTTTCTTTAAACAGAACTTTTCAGCAGAATTGTACCATTCAAAACAATGTCTTAGGACCAGTAGAGCATTCTAAGGTAAATTTGGTAACATGTCATTTAATTTGAAGTATGATTTGTAGCTTACTATTTAAAAAATTACTATACATGAATGCTACAGATTCCAATCTTGTAGTTCCATAAAAGGTTTATATACTATTTTGAGTTACTAGGTATTGAACACAAAGCCCTCGCACTGAGCTACATCTTCAATGCCCTCCCCTCTTGTTTTCAACATTCTGATTCAAGGTCTTGCTAGGCTGCTAAGTTGCCCAGGGTGGCCTCAAACTTGTGATCATCCTGCCTTTGCCTCCAAGAATGCTGGGATTATAGGCATGTGCCACCATGGCTAATTAACCCTTCCTTTTTCTTTGCAATATAGTATAGTACTTGGACTTGTTTCGAACTTGGTAGAACTCTTGACTAACTTACCTCTCACAGGTCACAGGATGGCTTTTAGTTCCAATTTGCACATGGGGTTCTTCTAACCTCCCCCCTCCCACTTTGGTTACTTGAGTATTTAAGCTATCTTATCCTCTACAACTATTTTTACCTCCAAGATCACTAGCCCTCAACTCAGGAAACATTTCCTTTAGGGTAACAAGTTAAGGGCCAGGGATTTAGCTCAGTGCTTCCACTGCCTGTCTCGCAAGTGTAAGGTCCTGAGTTCGATTCTCGTACAGAAAAAAAAAAAAGTTAAAAATTACAGAATTTTGAATAGCCTGAATAAAATTTCATAGTTAAGGAAGCAAGATACAGTATTAAAAGCACCTCCTTGAGATAATGAAGAAAAAAAACCCCTACAATTTCCATAAAACTTTTTTTTTTGTTTGGTACCAGGGATTGAGCTTGGGACTTTATGCTTGCAAGGCAAGTAGCAGAACCACTGAGCTAAATCCACGGCCCTAAAACTTTCTATCTTAAATAAAGAACTTTTCTTAATAAAGGATGAAATCCTAAACATAGAACATGGATGAAATCCTAAATATGGCCTCTGAAGCTACATGTGTAATTATGTATGAATCTGGCGGTCTATTTCTTTAATGTCTTTCTTCCTACCACTGTAGACTTATATGCAGTGGACCTAGATGGTCTGTTATTGTGCCTGCCTAACCGTAAGTGTGCTGTAAACACTTTGAGTGAGTTGAATATCACATGATAAGCATTTCAAACTCAGAAAGCAATTCAGGTGAATATGCTTAATATTCAAAGAAATCACTGAGCTTGTAACTTTAAATGCAAAATGCATTGCTAACCATTACCCCAAAGTACCAAGGAGAATGCAAGGCTGCCTACTAAACCACCATACATACAACTTCTTCATTAGAATGTCTACCACTTCTTTGCTATCCTACATTTGAGAAATGTACCTGTCAAAACTGGATTTGTGGGCCAGGGACTTTGCTCAGTGGTCCTGCTGCCTGTCTCACAAGCGCAAGGTCCCGAGTTGATCCCCGGTACCAAAAAAACAACAAAATAAAAAATTGGAGGGACAGGGCATTTGGCATAGTGGTTCTGCTGTCTGCCTCACAAGCGCAAGGTCCAAAGTTCGATCTCTGGTACCACACACACACACAAAAAAAGATTTGTTGTCAGGCATGGTGGCATACACCTGTAGTCCCAGCACTTGGGAGGCAAAAGCAGGGGGATCACCAGGAGTTCAAGGCTAGCCTGATCTACAAAGTGAGACCCTGTCACAAAAAAATAAATAAAGGTTTTAAATTTGAAGCAAATTTGAAAAAATGAGAAATGAAAAGAGTACTCACTCTTATTTCCCATTCACTCATTCATTCATTTGCAGCAGTGTCCTGTCACTTTGCTCAGGCTGGTCTCAAACTCAAGCAATCCTCTTGCCTCAGCTCCCAAGTAGCTGGGACTACAGGTGTATAATGGTGCACCCGGCTCAACTTTTGAAAGGTAGGCATGGCGTCACTGAACTAAATCCCCAGACCTCAACTTTTTCACCTTCAGTGTTTTAACTGAGTTTACTGTCAAAGTGAGATGGTATTGAATACTATTAAACTGTTCTGCTGACTTAAAAATGGTTGAGAATAAAATATACTTTAACATGTACCAATCTAACCAAAGTGACACATACCTAATCCCAGCACTCTGAGCTGCTGAGGCAGAATTGCAAATTTGAGCCTAGCCCAAGCAATTTAATAAATAAATAAATAACCAACCTGGTCTCAAAAAAATTTTAAAAAGGGCTGAGAATGTAGTTCAGTGCAAAGCCTCTTAGTTCAATGCACAACACACACACACACACACACACGGTACCAATCTCAAAGCAAAACTAGTCACTAATCATACAGAAAATTTCAGCTTCTCAACTTCATAATGGTAGGTCAGGAACACTGTCTACTCCACATGCCAAAACACATAAGAATCGTTTGATACTGCCTGGGATCCAGGGAATGTATGAAAGGAAATTTAAGAATACCTCCAGGTATTAAAAACAAGCTAAAGTCCATCATTAATGTGAACAAACAAAAAGATGTCTTACCGTAATGACTCTGAGAACTCCCCCTCCATCATTGACCATTACTTTGTGAAGATTTCTTGACACGAGACCATGTAGGTCTTGGCTTTCCCACACAATTGTACCTTCAAAGCTCTTTTCAGGGAAGAGATGAATAGTGAGTCAATTCTTTATTGCTGTCATTTAGATTTTAGGTATTTAGGTTAAGACTTTTATTTTAGACCACAACTCTAAAAAAGCATTGTTAATGTTTTGGTAGTAGCCCTGATTATCCTTGCGCTTGTGAGGCTGGCAGCAGAACCACTGAGCTAAATCCCCAGCTCCTCGATTATATCTTTCACACTTATCTATCCAAATACACACACACACACACACACACACACACACAGAGTATACGGTCAATTTTGCAGATATGGTATCATTTCCCATTGTATCAATATCAAAACCAATTCCAGATGTTGCAGCTGTTACAGCTGTTCTTCATGTATACAATATGCCACTGAGTAGACGCATCCTAATAAATTACTCCCTTACTGTCAGACAAAGTGACACATACCTAATCCCAGCACTCCAAGAGGTTGAGGCAGGAGAAATGCAAATCTGAGCCTAGTCCAAGCAATTTAATAAACAAATAAACAAAAAAAACCTGGTCTCAAAAAATTCTTAAGGAACGGGAATGCAGCTCAGTGCAAAGTCCTTAGTTCAAAGCAAAACTAGTCGCTAATCATAGAACTCACAGAATCATATAGAATACTGTCTTGCTGTCTAGTATCTCCAAAAATAATGTAGGAGTGTTTTGATACACTGTACACCCCATACTGTAGGATTTAGGAAGTTACATTAATGCAACAGATTCTAAAAAATGATTCCTTATTCATTTGCATTTCTCTGATTCTGGTGATGTTTAAACATTGCCTTTCTCTCTGAGAACTGCTTTGCCATGCTTCTTTGCCATTTTCTGTCTTCTATTTTTGTTACTATTCTATGTCAACCTTTTACAGAGTACTTATCTTAATCCTCTGCATATTTTACATGTTCAAATATTTTTTCAGTGCTGTTTGCCACCTATTATTACTCTTTTTACAAATTCAAAAGTCCGTACATTTTACCTTGTCAAATTGGACAACTTTTCTTTTGTGATTATTATTATTAAACATTGAGATTAGAAAAGTTACACCATCTGCCCCAAGGTGTGATGTATGTTTAAATCTCAATATCTTCAAATTTCTCTGTGGTTCCCACTTTTATCTTTGCCTGGCGGGCTCCATGATACTCAGGTCTCAGCTCCACTAGCATCTCCTCCAGCTTTCTCCAGAGAGCCAAGAGAAGGTACTGATACTCAATTTCTATCACAACCATTGGTTTATTTCAATATCATTTATTAATATCATTAATATCATTCTGTGATTTTTCTACTGCCAATCTAAGTGTCCACTGGAATGAAAGCAACACAAGGGTAGGATCCTGTCTCACCAACCAGTGGGTACTGTATCCCCAGTTCGTAGAACACCCAGATAAAACTGAAAATTCAAGAATGTTTGTTGAATACATAATGTGGAAGAAAAAGGCAATTAGAATGACTACTGGTGTAGGGAATACAATATAGCTCTAGTACCTTAAAAAAATTCATACATGAAATGGAGAGATAAAGTATTCATACTAATGTCTCATTTAAGCAGCATTATAAGGAAACTATAGAAAATCAAATTTGTCTGACAAGACAGGCCAGTAGGTTACAAATTTTTTTGCTGTAATTTTTTTCTCCACCAAAACAGAAACATTGTGAGAAATAGGATTCCCTTGGCCTGTCACATAGCAGACATATCCTTAATCGTCATTATCTATGAAATTATTAATGTGCATTATGGAGCCCTCAGGGCAGACCTTGCGGACATACCTCAAGCTATGGTATTGTTCCTTAGTTTTTCAGTTAGGGAAAATGACACGTACCTCAAAAGGCTGTTTGGAAACTAGTGATAATGCTTATAGTGCAGTCAGTGTCTTTGCTTAAAAAACAGAGCTTTATTACCAATGGAAGGCACATATGAAGTGAACTCTTCCTTTAAAAGATTCTATTTTCTTATTTATAGATTTCTATACCTTTCCTAAGTGACTTTAACTCCCTCTTGAATTTGAGGTCCAATTTGAGTTCTGTACAATCATTCTCACAAATATATAGAAAAGCGCCAGCCATGGTTGGTTGGCACATTCCCATAACCCCAGCACTCTGGGAGGCTGAGACAGGAGGACGAAAAATTTGAGCCCAAACTGGGAAACTTACCTTCTTAGTGAAACCCCGTCTCAAAAATTTAAAAAAGGGCCAGGGATTTAGCTCAGTGGTTCTGCTGCCTGCCTTGCAAGCACAAGGACCCAAGTTCAATCCCTGGTACCCCCCCAAAAAATATTGCTGGGGCTATAACACAGTGTGAAGGCCCTAGTTTCAATCTCTAAATATCATGAACTAAAGGTTCTACAAGGGACTTCTGAGACGATGGTGGACTGGTGAATGGCAGAGAAAGAGCTTCTCCAGGATTTGGTGTCCAGATGCTGGAATTTAGCAACGTGAGGAGGAAAGTGGGTCTATGGGACCAGGAAAGATCTGAAGCAAGAAATGAAACCCATCAGGAGAGCAAAGAGAGAGATTTCAATGAAGGAGGAAGGGGCAAGTGGTGTGCTCCCCCTGGACTCTGACTCATTGCCTGGGACGGGTGGCTCAAACCTGCAGACACACCATGACTACTGATGACCCCAGAGTTCTCCACAGAGTAACGCACCAGTGGAAGAGCAGTGGATGCAATGGACTGCAGTAGCTGGTGAGTTATTTGGGTTCAGGTGCCTGCCCAGGAGAGGGCAACTGGCCAGTACCCATTGTGAAGAGGGGCTAACTGAGCTCCAGATTCAGAGAAAGCTGCAGGTTCCATCTAGCAGCTCCAGTGTCAGGGAAAGGCTGCTGAGTTAAGTCAATGGGAAGTTAAGAAGCCGAGTTTCAGCTGGCAGGAAGAAAACACAATGTCTGGGAAAAAATTGGGTCCCAGCCTTACAGCCAGAGATCAGCCTAAACTTTGGTGGAAATGAAGGTACAGGCTTGCTAGGATTGTCCACTGCCCCACTGCAGGTGTATGGCTAACTTGATGGAATTATCACGAATCTGGACTGTCTACTTTGTCTACCAGTGACAGTGGAAAAACATGCCTTGAAATGGACTTTTTTTTGTTTTCTTCCTCTTTTTTCTTTTGTTTTTGTTTCATTTTTTTCTTGATCCTTCTTGCTTTTATATGGTAAGAGCATTGTTTCTCATTTTGTTGTTGTTGTTCTGGTTTTTATTTCTTCGTTCTTTCTTTCCCTTCTATTTTCTTTACTAGTTTCTAATCTCTTTATGTCCTCCAGCCTTGCTTCTAATGTCTTTCTTCTCTTCTATTCCTCCATTTTTTCCCCTAACCTCTTTTTAATTTTCTCCCCAAGGGTAAAATCACTATACTGAGGGCTTGTTTATTATATACAATTTTTTGGTTTTGGATTTTATTATATAGCCACAAATCTAGTTCATATGGTTAAAGGAGTAAAACTAATAGTTACCAAAATCTGTCATTTTCTAGGCTGTGTGACATGATTGTTCTAATCAGCTGCTTTTCCTGAATACCAAGACTGAGACTGCCTAAGGGTCATAAACAATACCAGTTCCAAAGAATCAGGAGATGGGACAAGTTAGGTAGCAGCTCCTCCATGCCCAATAAATTGAAGAGGTAGGATCTTACAACAGAATCAAAACCCAGAAGCCAGTTACACCAGGTAGACATCTCTTAGAAGTAGTCATTTCCTAAGGATTCTAAATAATAGTGATAAAGCTACTCAACATAAGCAATTTATAATCATCAACCTAGGAATTAAAACAAAAAAAACGAAAATGGGAAGACAATTAAACAAAATGCAATTCCTTCTCCCAGACTTTCAGCTCACCAAAGAGAAACCCAGGGTAGATCCAAAAGCCACCCACCGAGACTCTCTGATATGCTAACAACTGAAATAACAAAGCAAATGAATGAGGCTGAAGAAAAAACTCAAATCAAAAATAATTTCTCACAGGACTGCGAATTTAGCTCAGTGGTTCCACAGCCTGGCTTGTAAGTGCAAGGTCCTGAGTTCAACTCTCAGTACCCCCAAAAAATCTCTCACATAACTACAGAGGCAGTGACCACAATGAAAGACATGCTAGTGACTCTTAAGAGTAGACACAGATTTGAAAAAAAAAAAAAATAGAAGAGCTTAGCAAAATGATAGAAACCATGAATGTCCAACATTTCTAGAAAATAAATGAAATTTATGAAACAGATTCAAAAAGACATCCAGTCTTTTTCCACTGAAAATTTCCACTGAAAGTATATGCAGCAGAATGAGCCAATGTGAGGACAGAATATCAGTTACAGAAGATAGGATTGGGCTGGGGATTTAGCTCAGTGGTGCTGCCACCTGCCTTGTAAGCTTAAGGTCCTAAATTCGATCCCTGGTACAAAAAAAAAAAAAAAAAAAAAAAAAAAAAAGACAGGATTGCAGTTAGAGATCATGAAACAAAAGATTTCTTAAAAATAGCAAGGGACGGAGCTGGGGATTTAGCTCAGTGGTTCCACCGCCTGCTTCACAAGCACAAGGACCCAAGTTCAATCCGCAGTACAAAAAAAAAAAAAATCTAACAGCCTCTAGATGATGCAAAGAAGAACAATATAAGACTGGAGTTAGTGAAAAAGCAGAAGATAGTGCAAATGACATAAACTGCTCACAGAAGTAATGGTAGAAAACTTCCCAAGCATGGAAAATAAATTTGACATACAGATAAGTGAGGCATATAGAACTCCACTTAACCATGATAAAAAAAATCTATACCACGGCATATAATAGTCAAGTTTCCAGAAATTCAACATAAGAACAGAATATTAAGAGCTGTCAGAGAAAAGAAACAAATCACTTATAAAAGAAAGCCCATCAGAATCACAGCAGACTTGACACAAACCCTCAAGTCAAGGAGTTTGTAGTGAAATATTATAAGCCTTAAAAGAAAACAACCTCCAACCCAAATTGATGTACTCTCCAAAAATATCTTTGAAAATTGATGGAGAAATAAGGCATGTCCACAAAAAAGA